ACTAGCTGCCTTCCCTCTAGTCTTACACTGCTAAATTAGGGAATCCGGGTTTCGATACCCATGGTGGGCAAAGCACATATAGCCCATTGTGTAGTTTTGTGCTTAATTACAAACAATTCGATATAAAACTCATTAAAATCCTAGCAGTATCGACTTTCTACATACACTCTATTTTTTTTTACTTATGAAAAAACATTGAATTTGATGTTCTACTTTGTAAAAACAAATGTTATTGGTTCGGTAATTTCTTCTCTTTTGGATCGAATTTCCAAATCCTTTCTAAAGCTCCCGTCAAACAATATATATATAAAATAACTGGAAAACTGGATTACCTATTAGGAAACCAGTGAAATAGAGACGTTATTGTAGAAGCGTAACAGGAAAAACAGTTGCGTTGAACCGAGATCTTCTTTCAGTATATATTTCATCTTCGAAACATTCTTGAGTATTGGAAATTACAACAACGGGATTTTACAAGTTTCAATAAATCCTATTTCTGTGAAATATGGTGAATCGAATCCCATTTTTATCCAAGTTTGTGAGTGTGTGTGTCTTGTAAATGAAAGAAAGAACTGTTAATTTTTTCACCACGAGATTCTATAAAAGACAGTTTTCTTTGTTTGTTTGTTCTTTGATGGAAGTAGCACGAAGATGAAATTAATTTTCAAAGTTTCCACCAACATAGTAGATTCAAATCTACGGATTGTTGTGCGTGTATTTATGCCTATGTTAAGTTCTGATAAAAACAAATGCAGTAAAACATTGAAGAACAATGAGGAAACATATAATAGTTTCAATATGTTTCAAACGAGTTAGAAAAGCTGCTTAAGATTTAGTTAAGTATTACACTATGTTTCAAATGAGTTGATAAACAGCTTTAGATTTAGTTTTATATTATATTATAACCTCATAAAAAGATTCTACGATCAGTTCTTAAGTAAATTCGGACTTGTAAATTGAATAATGGTAGAATAGTTCCATTATCTGACAGAAGAGGGAGACACTCTATGCACAATTTTCATCGCCGTTCATCCCTAAAGTTCAGTACATCCTATGTCAGTTGTATATAGGCCAAAAGTTTTAATTTTTATCCCAAAAGAAAGAGTTTTGTCTAATATTATTCGTTAAAAGGAACTACAATTTCCATTGTTGTAACATTCACAGAGTTTTACCCATCATTTGATTCGTGATATAAAAAAGAAAACGAATAAAAAAATCACAAAGCGCTTCACATACGTATTTTACAAAACAATCAGTTCTAACTGCCCTTTATTAGCTGAATAATAAGAACATCACTAGCCACACTAAACCGATGATCAGACAAGTTTTATCGAGTACTCAAAACAAAAACAAGACAATAAATCATGTTCTGATCTTCTGCCGAAAAAATCAAAAAGTACAGAAAGATATTCCAGAAGCAGAACCTATTCAAATCGGTTTCTCATTGAATTGCGTACACTTGTATTTTTCTATAAAATGTCATAATTAAAAATAAGTTGTCAAACACTTAAACGTTGTCATTTTAATATAATTCAGCTTTTAAACTCATCTGCAGATATTTATGTTTCTTTATGATTATAAATTTGTATCCCCCATATAGTTGGTCGACGATACGCGTGAGAGCTTATAACGGGATAAAGTGGGTTTCGATACCTGCGGTGGGTTTGTTTGTTTTGAATTTCGCGCAAAGCTACACGAGGACTATCTGAGCTAGCCGTTCTAGCGTTGTACGTCCGTAGACATACCGCTGTTTTTTTTTATTAAATACCTATCACAGATTTATGCACTGTATGTTTTTATAATGTAAAATTTTCAACAAAAACTTAACTTCTAGAATTTCGAGTGCAATAAGGAAGAAACATAACAAAATGCTTGTAGAACTACAAAATAATGAGTTAGAAAATATATTAACCAGAACACTTTCAACTAGATACTGAACTGAATATATTTCTTCAACGATTATAAGTACACAACTTCAGAAATTGTTGTTGTTTCACATGTAGGTAGGCCCCCAGTAGTCACCACCTGAGTCATACATTTATTACTTTATTAATCAGTATACCACAATGAAAATACTTTTCGAAGAGTTTTAACTACTTTTTTCAATAATTATATACTGTTTTACGATTTGTTAGAATTCCGAAGATATAGTGGAGAGGATCTGAAAAAACCTCGACTGACCTAATGTGGAAACACAGGTATCTGTAAAATTCTTAGTGGCTGTTATATTCTGTTGGACGGCAAAGAAAACATGCAGGGTCTATTAACTTTCTTCATTGAGTAACAATGAAAAGAGTGTTTGTCGCTCATGTGAAATGTATCATCATTTTATGTTTGTTTTTATCTATTTCTCTATTTAGTTCATAAGAAAAGAAATGTATATCTCTGAAGCCTTGAAAGATACTGAATGGGATGAGTTATTGGATTAATGTGTGTGTGTCTTTGTGTGTGAAATTTGATTACATTGTCCTTTGTGGTTTTCTAAGCTTTTAACTAGTACTTAAAGTTGGAACTTTTAATCAAAACGGAATCTTAGTGAGCTAATTGGAGAGAAGCAGGAGTCGGGCCTAGGGCTGCTGACTGACTCTCTCCTTCTGGACAGTAGTTAAAAATTAGATAAAGCTATAGTTGAACATTACACATCCTGGTCACCACCACATTGGAGAGAAGCAGGAGTCGGGCCTAGGGCTGCTGACTGACTCTCTCCTTCCGGACAGTAGTTAAAAATTAGATACCCCACCACCGCATTGGAGAGAAGCAGGAGTCAGGCCTAGGGCTGCTGACTGACTCTCTCCTTCCGGACAGTAGTTAAAAATTAGATACCCCACCACCACATTGGGGGAGCATTTGAGATTTTATTGACTCTTTATAGCGATTGAAAACAACAACAACATTTTAAAAATTAATAACATAATTTTCAATTCGCTAGGGAGAATGAACTTGGGTGGATCCGAGTGAAATTTGGGATGCACAGCCCACCCCAACACCCCCTAGCGCCAACCCTGACAGCACCTACCACCACAGGATTTTGTCTTTGTAAATTTGTACTTGGCCATTCTTTGTAGTAAATTTCAATTTATAGGTACTAAATTGATTGCTCCCTAGTGGCACAGCGATACGTAAGTCAGCTTATAACGCTAAAAACTGGGTTTCGATACCAGTGTAGCTCTGAGCTTACCAGCAAACAAATAGACTAAATTTATTTCAATTTCACTCTCACACAGATGCAAATAGAAGAACTTATTAAAATATTTTGGGCAGACGTACTGAAGAAAAGTAAAGGTTTCGTCTTATAGGGTCTATATATATATATATAAAGTCAAGTTATTTTGTTTAGGCATGTACTTATAGTCGAGTGTCAAACTGTTGATCGAGACGTAATACTGCTGGAAAAGGTACCCATTATTCAAATCGAAAACCCTTCTCAACTAAAAACGAAGAATTATATAAATTCTAAAAGATGAACTTTACATATTTCAACCGATTCCAAGATGATATTTAACACACGTGTTCTAACATATTCCATAGATAAGCTAATAATTATCAAAACTTGACTTAATAATCTTCAAACAATCTTATAACTTTTAAACATAAAAAATTGAATCAATATGTATATATATATACATATAGCACACATGAAAGGTATACAAGTATGAATTATGTGCACACTATTAATTATAAACTATGCTTTAAACAGAAAAAGAGTGTATAAACATCTACATTATAACAAAAATACACAACTGCAATACACAATTAATATTTAAGTAAATTCCAGTTAAATATAGCTAAAACGAATTATTATAAACCAGTCTTAGTAAAACTTTGATTATAAGTGCAAAGATATTCAAAATATAATGTGAAAATTGAACATTTATAGGGGTTATCCTCTATGCTAAAAAAGTGTTAAACTAGGCACAATAGATTATCACTCTTTCAATCAATCATTTCCTAGTTTGCCCCTAAAAAAAGAAAGGTCCACCTTTCAAAAACGCTTGGATTATTATGTATCGTGTTTCTATGATTTCTTGAACCTACGGGTTTTCCTAACATCACGAATCTTTCAAAAGTGTCACTTAGAGTTTAACCACTCGTTATTTAATTGTAGGAAAACAGAGAAAAGCGAAAATGTCAATAAAACTGGTATTATTTACAGTACTTATCAATTCGAGGGCTCATCATGCATTAAGTGTGAGTTTTTAGAGATTCAATAGAATTTGTTTTCATTTGTGTAATAGTTATATAATATATTTCATATGTAAATAATGCTTTTGATCCTGCATAAAAGATCCGAAAAAAACTGAAGATAAAGATTACCAGAATAACGTAAATATCTTAAGATACGCACAAACTAACATAGAAAGAAACCTCAGAGAAAGTACTTGCATAATCAAAATCAGACCCCTACGTATAAATAGAGATGATAAGCCAATCAACATGTCCTACTGGAAGACCTGTTTATCTTAAATATTCTAGCACGTATGACTTACCTTACCCCCTATCTCTTGATCTTATTTTTCAAAAATGAACTCGCCAATTAACGGTTGAAACTAAATACTTAATTCACGGACACTGTAGAATTTTACCCTGATGATGGTAACACGTTTACCGAAACTACTTGACTGTAAGCTCAATTAAATAATTTTACTTATCATTTTGTCAAAAAACGTCGTTTTTTGTAACTGTTACCTTAATTAGTTTTATATAGGCTTTTTAAACTTTTATCTAGAATTTCAGATGTTTTAATTAGAACGGTACCTTAGTACGTTAAACAGCCAAAATCTGCGCCGTTCAGATATATCTTTATTTAATTTTGAAATACTGACCAGAAGAAGGAAGATCTTTCGGCAGCACCCGTCGCCACAGGAGCTTATCAGGATGTTTGAACTGGATAACCTAAATAACTGTCACTTTTATAACGCAGTCAAAGCTGAACGTAAAAAGCGCGTTCAGCAATATCATGTAACGACCCCTGCCTATTTTGATCTACATTTTAACATGTTTTGGCTGTGTCTAACCAATACAACTTAGTCTTATATACTTTATAAAAAGAAACTTCGAATTTTCTCGAATATTTCTGGCAAAATATTCTAGTAAACTTTTCGCATTTATGTGAAAGTAAGATTTCAATCAATTTATAAGTTAAAGATATAAGTTAAAATTTACTAATAATATAAAACTGGCCAGACACAAATTTACGACAACCAAGTAAAAACGAAGAATTATAAAAGTTATAAAACATGACATATATATTTCAATAGTTTCAAAGCTGATACTAACAAGTAAGCCAACATTTACCAGAAGTTAGTCGTTACATACCTCAATATCTTCCAACAATGCAATAACTTTTAAACATAAGAAATTGCACTAATATAATGAAAGAATGGGCTTGACGCTTGCATGCAAGAAAACGTATAGAAGTATGAATTATTTGTATACTGTTAATTATAAAATATACGTTAAATAAAAAACACTATAACCAAAGAAAACAAGTCACAATGTTGGTTGTACACAATTAATTTTTAAATTTAACTTCGTTTAAATATCGCTATTACGAGCTGCTGTAAACCAATCCAATAAACCTTTGATTAAATACAAAAAAAATTGAAAGAGTTAAAATTTATAAAAGTTATCACAGTTGCAATAAATTACCATTTTCTATACTAAGGAGGTCTTAGAACATGCAGAACACACTTTGAGAAAAGGTCATTTATCGTTTTAACCACCTTTTATTTAATTGTAGGTTAATTCAAAAAGCAAAAAAAGTGAAGATGCGAATGAATATGTTATACTTTATTTATCAATTCGAGAGTTCGTCATGTGTGTTGGAATACATAAACAGTTTGTTTGTTTGAATTCTGCACAATGGGCTATCTGTGCTCTGCCCACTACAGATATCGAAACCCGGTTTCTAGCGTTGTAAGTCCGCAGACATACCGTTGTGCCACTGGGGGGGGGGCACATAAATAGTTAAATGTGAATTTTTAGAGAGTTTAGATAGAATATGGCATCATCAGGGTAATAGTAATATAATCTAGTTTTTATGTAATTAATGTCTTTGATCCTGCATTGAGATGATGCTTAAATGTAATACCAACTAGTTCATTCGACAATATAGATAATACTTAAACGTGATAGAATGCCGAAGAAAAGCTATCATAATCCTTCTATACGAGTTTGACAACTTGTATTATCTGGTAAAAAACTGAAAATATCAAATCCTTCTATGGCATAGTTATCCAATAAGAATTTATTCACTCTAACTGTTGGAAATTGTTCTGTCATTTGTATTGTTGTGTATACTCAAACTATCAATTGAAATGCAGTACCACAAAATCACATCTGATTTGATAAAGATAAACACAGTCAAAATATCTCTTTTGATTATGCAGTAATTATACTCTAAAGTATTAAAACTTTCCGAGTGTATTAATCCAGGGTAGATTAAGAATTTGGATTAGAGTTTCAATGTAAGCATCTTTAGAATTTACTTTCGTAAATTTTATATAAGATTGGGCAGATTTAAAGACCGTCGTCTTGAAAGATTGAGCAGTATGGGCATCTTTAAAGACCGGAATATACTGTCACATTTCTAGATATTATGAGCATATTTCATGGTTAAAAACAAAAATGGCTTGACTTCTTGTGAGAAGTTATGATAGTAGGAAGCGAAATTGACTGAACAGCTATAGATTACTTTCTATTTGTTTCAAAACAGTTCCCTTCCTGCTCAGAAGTTGTCTAAATTCTTCAATTTTTGTCTGAACAATTTTCATAGTGCTTTGTATTTTAGATTAGTACTATATTTCTAAATGACTATAGTCAGATTCTCTGTTACAGTTGTTCCATACATATATGTCTTGCCAAATAGAACATAGCAATAACGTAGACCAAGCACAAGAGACTATTAGTCATAAAAAGGTGGCAGTGTATTTCACGTCTAAAAATTAATCCCATTTTCTCATCAATTCAGCTCTGAACACGTACTTTTTGGCTTTCAAAATCTGGCTGAACACACCAGCACTGTGATATGCTATCATGTTTTATCGAAGGTGTCCAACTATTCGACTGTCTTTGGAGAAACGCTACAGCTGTCACTTAAAAAAACGCTAATGTTGAATATTGTATCATTTTTCTTAACTTACTAAGACAATTAGTGGCGATCTTGCACTTTTAAGACCTTGTTACACAGCATGCAATCAATTTAAGTATTAT